CCACTGACCGATCAAAATCCCAATAAAGATCGTTTCAGTCGACTAATCTTAAGATGATGAACTTTGTAAAATAAAAACTTTCCTCTATGATTTTACTTGATGAAAATGCCGACCACTTGGCATTCGTCAAAAAGACATTAATACGTGGAATATCATCATTAAGCAACCGCTGGTCCGAGCAACGGTTGGGCCGAGATCACGAAACATCGTCAGTCGCTTCTATCCATTGCGAGTTCACGCCATTTCGACATCCCAAGTGCAGACTCTTCGCTATGAACTTGGTACTTCCATTGGATGCGTGGGCGCTTTTGTTTCAGGCTTATTTATGCTTGTTCCGCGATATACATAGTCCCTAAATTTTTCAATTTTATAGCTGCCGACAGTGAAGTAGTTCCCATGATGCGCGTAATCTTTCTATATGGCCTCCAGGTAATTTGTCTTGCCCTCATTCACTACAAGACTAAATTCTTTCGCTTGAAAAGGCTGCGCTGACGGCTCTGTTCTTAAAGCCATAATATAAATATCACCTGTATACCTCAGTAGCCTTGTACTCTTAGAGTAGACAGTGCCACTGCAATTTCAATTAGCGGTACGTATTGCTTTTTCCAAAATTATATTGAAAAAGATGTGCGAAAGAAAATCGGCCTGTCTCAAACCTTGTTTGGTAGGGGACGTCTCAGAGAGGTCGTTCCCGACTTTAACGGAGCTGATGGCTGTGCTCAACGTCATTCTGCATAGCCGTAAGAGTTTCGCAGGGATACCAAATTTCGACATTGGTTCTATGAGTGCTGTCTAAAGCAGCTTTGAAATCGACGAAGAGGTGATGGGTGGCGATCTGTTTGTCAAGGGTCTTCTCCAGGATTTGACGTACTGTGTAAAGCTGGTCTAGGGTAGATTTTTCAGGTCTAAAGCTACACTGATAATATTAAATTAGTTGATTTACAATATTTTCACACAATACTACCGAAAGAACATTATATGCGAATGTTGAAGCTTTTAGAAAAATGAAAAGAAACCTCTATAAAACCAATCAAAGACTTCTCAAGAACATCTTCAATCACAAATTTAAGTTGACCACATAGTTAAATTTTTTATCAAGCGTAAGCCATCGAGAAGACCCCCAGAGCGAAAGCCAAACCGAGTAAGAAGACTATTCCCGATCGAAATATCATTCTACAGGATATAATTAGTTCCCGTAAGCTCCATTGGGCTTTCGTTTTCTCAACTTTCTCAGTATTTTCAAGAAATATTGATCTTTAGGTTCATTTTGATTAAACCAATCTGTATTTATTTCCCCTTCTAAAGGATATAACCACTCAATTAGACTTTTAAAATACATATTTTACAATAATATAGAGCTTGGTTTTGTTTTGCTTATGGTTACCTCTATTTTCTTTCGTCGATCTTCATTTCTAGGCATTTAATTTTTGGCGGTTCGAATTCCATATGCAGTTTCAGAATCATAATTTGGATCTTGTATTCTAATTGTCATGGATGATATGGTCTAATTATTTGTGATTGATAAAGAATAGCGAGATTTCATCAGGAAATATTTTCTGCGCGCTCTCCAAAGCTCAAGGTTAAAAGTTGGCTGACGATTGCCAATCAATAGTCAAAATAATTGTGCAGTAATCCTTTTCGAACTCAATGTAACGGAATGTAACATACATACCTACGTAGACGTGTATTATTGTATGTGTCCTGCTGCAAGGGAAAATTCTGTGGAATTCCTTTCTCTTTGGTATGTTTTAATTAAAAGAAAATCGTGAAATTGCGAAAGGCGATTAAAGTGCTCTTCTGCTTTCACACAGCATAACATTCTTCACGCATAGGGCGATTGAGAGCATTGCGTGGACTCACATTGACCGGAAAACATTGATTTAATTGAGGTAAAATTTCCCGGATTATTAACTGTCGTGCAATGCGGCGAGACAGTAAATTACACACTGACGTACAATATGAATGTGCGTAGGTATGTATGTGTGTTTGGACACCAATATTACCAGAAAATTTTATTCGATGTAAAAACTTGTTTGTACATACTTACTTAGGCATGTCTTCTATCGACTTCGTTTTGGTTAGTTCGTTGGGTTAATATATATGTACCTCCACCTTTAGTACGATAAGATAAGATAAATATATTATGAAAGTGCTAGTGAGGCGATATGATCCCTATTTGGAAACATGGATTCAAGGGCCTTTATCCTGTTTAGCTAGGTTTAAACCCTTTTGTATTGAATCGCCGAGTGTCGTCGAATTTGCCTCTACTTATGATAACAATGTCATTTAGAGGATCCTACTATGAGTTAGCAAAGCTAATTGTCCACTACAAGGCTCCCTAACAGGGTGGTTAGCACTCAACCCTGTGCGCAGCTTCTTGTAGTGTCGAGACGAACCCTGGTATCTCTAACTGTGGTTTCAGCTATTGTGGTACACAGTACGGCGTTTATCCTTTATCAAACAGATAGAATCCGTAGAACATATCCTCAATACGTGATTTTTCCATTTTTTGCCTCCCTGCAAATCAACCCACTCTAATGTATTTGTATATATTTTATTCAAACTTAATATACCCTCTTTTTTTTTTAAGGAAAATAATTAAATCATCATATAAGCACGTATGCAATCCATTAATCTTTTCAAATATGAATTTGAACCATTAAATTGTAAATAGCAAGTAAAATACTAAAACATTCATATTAAAAAAGCGAGAGTTTAGCATAACAAATTCTTTTAAATGCACTCATCTCCTCATGTGTATTTATACATATGTACATACGAGTACATATGTATGCTTATGCAGTTCATTGAATGGTAATTCTACCTCCCTCCAGTTTTATGATTTCCGCAAAACATGCGCAGAATTTCTGAATAGTTATTAGTGACTCTGACGGTTCTAAGCAATGACCACTACAAGTTATTAAAGTGGTAAGCAGGAATATTTGTTGACGACATGAAAGAATTTCTTTTTATGCGCTCACTTATAATAAGGAAATATTCGAAAAAAATATTACATTCATAGACGTATATACATACATAGTACATACATAGATGGAATATATATTATACAAAAGGATGAGTGCAAAAAATACTAATATGCAAGGTATTTTTGCGATATTTGATAGAAAAGAAAATTCAAAATCATTTCCTATATTTAATTTGCTAAGTCATCACCTTAGACTCTTCTATTTAAAAAAAATTGTTTAAGAACTTGAACTACTATTACATAAAAAAACCGTTAAAAAATTGTTTAATTCAAAACTCTGCATACACAGTAAGTTTCGCAATATATTTTATTTTCAAAATCGTCATTTTATACATATGTATGTATTTAGGGACTGTTCCATTTTGATTTGTATGTGGCTACCATTTACAATCCACCTATTTACCATAACAATATTTATTAACTCCTCTTGTGGTGAGATTGTTGAGTTTAGCGAACCTTACCCCTTACTGTGTTTTAACGAAACTATTTTGGTATAAGTACAATAAATTTTGGAATGGTCTAAAATCGAAAAATGCGGTAGTTACATTTGGATTATAATGGCTGTCTTCGATCCACCAAGCGTTGGAGAGCTAATAATTCTAAAGTAGTAGGGCTCTACATATATTCTACACATGAGGCTCTGAAATACATATGTAAATAAGTTGTAATACCACCTTAGCCTCAACAAACACACAAACTTATCAACAACGCGCACATTTCATATATCTTAGGAGCAAAATAAGGTTTAACTTCTTTATTGACTGATACACTTTCTATACAACAGTTGAAAAAATGCAACTAAAATATACGCGGCTCACTTATTACTTGCGCAGGGCCACCTACAATTTGCTCAACTTCAATTGAATTGATGCGAATCATTGTGTTCGGTGAGCGTTGAAAGTTGATACGCATGTATTGCTTCCTGCGCTTCTTCTTGAAATGTGTTTTCGTATGCGTAAGGGTTTTCTCAATAATTGTCGCCTTCACGTTCACCAAACCGGCTGGCAGTATTGGCCGCCCGATCAAAGTGAAATCCTTAGCACCAGCCAGCAACACTTTTTCCAAACGAATTTCATCGCCAATTGTAGGTGGCCAATAACCCTCCACAAGAATTATATCGCCAGCTGTTATTTTAAATTGTTTGCCACACAAATGTACAATAGCAAATAGGCGTCCCTCCTTATGTTCATCAAGTTGTTGGTTAACTTTATCGAAAACATCTTGACATTCTTTTTGTTCGAGTTCTGAAGTCACTTTTTCACTTTTATTTGCTACAGCTGCGGCATTTACTAAAGTGGGCTTTTGTTGTTGCAGCAGACGCGGTGCAATGCTGAGCTCACGTAATGTATCTGCAATGGAAAATAAATGAAATGTTGCTAATTGCATAACGATTTGTTTACTTACGTGTTAAGTTATTAACGAGGCAAGGCTGCCGCGCCACCGAAAGCAAGCGTTTAGCCAAAAACGCCATTATTTTCAATATTCAATTGGGATTCACGAACTATTGCACAAACACTTCATTCTAACCATAAAAATAAAGCGTATTGACAATCAGCTGTTATTGTGCTGCTGTTTTTGACAGGCAGTCGGCGCTATATCCCATTCACAATAGTGTGGTGAAATGAAATATTTGTGGTAGCAAATATTTTTTTAATGTTTTTTTTGTTATATTGAAATGAAAAAAAAATTAACAAATATTTCAAATTTAAGCTGTGCTCATATTGAGTGAGTTTTTAATTTAAGTAATAAGCAGTCATGTGCAGGATATAAACTTTGAAATATAATTTTACTGTTATCAATACAGTTCTAATTATTAAAACAACCCCTAATGGGTTAATTAGTCAAAAGCTTTGAATTAAACTTTTTCCATTTGCATGTGGGATTAAATGAGTGCGCGCTCTCTAACCTCCCTATATATTACTCTTATCTCGCAAAGTTCCCTTAAATACAGACTAGAACGTCTGTCTGATTCTCAGTGGTAATCTCTTGATCACAATTAGTTGTTTGTTACCAACGAAAGTTATTGGATTAGTTTTCTTAGTTCTTTAAAGTTTATTTAGTCTTCAATGAATTCTTCGATTTCCCGTCAATAAAACGGATAGAAGCTGCAATGGTAAGTAAAATATCTAAATGTCTATAAACTGAATACTAAAACATCAATAATATATTATACATGAATAATTATTAACTACACCATTTATTGGACTTTAAATTAATGCGGTGTTGACTTATTGAAGAATGAGAGACAGACCACAAAAAAAAGCTTTGCCAAAAATTTTAGTTGCGTGTCAAATTTTTGGAGAAGAGTCAAAATTTATAAACTTTCGTAAGACTCTGTACTCTTTCTAACGGTTATTTATAACTGTGACCATTATCTCGACAATTATGGCATTATATTAATAACTTTTTTTTGCAATATTTCTTTACTTATTTCTTTACTTATTGCTTTACTTTTTTTAAGTAACGATAACTTATAAAGTCCATTTAAAAACTAGACAAGCGCACTAAAGTGATTAATTAAGCAGTTTTGGTGATACGTTGCTCTTTAGTACGCCGGTACGTCGGAATATCCCTTCTTTTTAGGGATGTTTGATAGTGGATTAAAGCATTACCCAATGGGTTTGGGTGATCTCGTGGTTATATATGTACCTACATAGTTCATTCTGCAGTCCTCTACTTCTTTCTTTACGATGGGAATACCAAGCTCTTTATGAATATTTTCATTAGGCATGTGCCATGCATTTTCGATTGGAACCTTTATATTATATCAATATTAGTGGCACACTTCGTACCACCCAGTTGAACGCCATACATACAAATCGGCATTATGACCGCATTGCATAGAAGGATTTTGTTTGTTTAGGCTAAATTTATATGTATTTAAACGCCAATTTAAATTTACAGCTCTTACTTATCTTCATACAAGTTATTATTATTATCATTATTATTATTAATATTATTATCATTATTATTATTCATATTATTATCATTATTATTATTATTAGATGTACATATGTATGTGTTCTCCAGGTGAGCCTCCTATCTAGTTGAATACCAAGGGTTACTAAAATATTGTTAATTTTTACTGCCGAACACATATTTGGTCTTAGCGAAAATAAAACATGCTTACACATTTATACGCCAGGTGGCTAGCCATTCTTCGGCAGAACTTAAGTGCTCCACTAATATTCTTGATGCTATAATGTGGCATTTGTTACGGCTCACTAAAGCTGCGTTATCAGAAAAATTGATGTCAATATTAACTGTTGGAAGATCTGCTGCAAATATGATGTATAGAGTCGGGCTTAAAACACTACCCAGCCCCAATCTATCGTTCATCAGATATGAAATCTCCTATTTTAACCATAAATTATTATCCATTTCGCGGTACCCTACTCAGAAACACACAGAAACTTCGAATTTAATGGGGAGTGTTTATTATCATTCGAAACAACATTCTTTGGCATTTTTTTTTTTTTTGAAGAATAAATCTTTCAAATGTTTGCCGCGGCTAGGTCTCAGATGGTCCATTCATTGTGTTCAATTTTCGATGACTTGTTCGAGCATTTCGACTGGTAACTGGGGAATGACACGCGTTATGCTTTATTCCAAGATCTAAATAGAAGCAGGATTGTTCGCATAGACTATATACTTTACATATCTCCTCAGGAAAAACGATGTGTTAGCACACGATCTTCGTGCCTCAGCGAAGTGTTCTCTCAATAAATCCATTGATAGAGGCGATTTGTGGGAAGTTCTTCTTGATTAGCGTAGTCACCGCTTACGCGATTATAGCCGAGTTAACAATCGCGCGCCAGTCGTTTCTTCTTTTCGCTACGTGGCGCCAATTAGATATTCCAAGTGAAGACAGGTCCTTCAAGACTTGGTCTGGTCGGTCTGGTCGGTGTGGAGGTCTTCCGCCGAGATCACTAGCTTCAATTTCAGGCATTCAATAGTCGGTTTCCATGGCGCGATAATGGTCGTCATTGATAGTTATGTTCCTACCGGCAAAATTTTTGAACAAAATGGACCGTCGATTCCACCGGCCCACAAACCACACCAAACCGTTCGTTTTTTTCTGTATGAAATGGCAGCTTTTGAATCTCTCAGGTTGCTCTTCGCCCCAAATGCAACAATTTGACTTTTTTACATAGCCATTGAGCCAAAAATGGGCCTCATCGCTGAACAAAATTTTGGTCGAAAACGTCGGATCTTTTTGGAACATTTCAAGAGCCCATAGAAGCGAACCGATGTCGCTTGAGAACGTCGAGTGGCTTCAGTTCTTGCACAAGCTATATTTTGTACGCTTTCAATTTAAGATCTCGACGTAAAATGCGCCAAGTCGTTCCATACGCCAGTCTGAGTTGCTTTTCAAGCACTGTTTCTTTAACATTCCCGTTGTCATCGTCATTAACAGAGGTGGATGGATGACTCGAATGAGGGAAATTTTAATTTTTGGGAATGACTTGCTTGTAAAATTTAGGTTATTTTGCAGAATATCGTATTGCTGTCGAGGCTAGTTACTTAAGCAGGTTAAACTTCCTTTATGAAAGGAGCCTAGGTTACTCATAATTCTTTCCGAAAATAAAAACTAATGACAAATTTTCTTATCCAGTTCACAGAGATACAGATTCCGGTACCATGGGGTCACATATCCGCGCTTTGGTATGGCGATCGGTCGATTCAACCGCTCATCGCGCTACATGGTTGGCTCGATAACTCTGGCACTTTCGCGAAATTGGCACCGTTGCTCGTCGAAGCCGCCGGCAGTGTGCTCTGCATCGATCTACCCGGACATGGTCGTTCTTCGCATCTACCTGCTGGAATACTCTATCATATCTCTGAATTTATACGCGTACTGACACGTCTAATGCAATATTATAACTGGTCGAAAATATCGCTGTTGGGCCACTCAATGGGAGGCGGGGTGGCACTTTACTTTGCTTCCCTATATCCAAGCAAAGTCGATTTGCTGATTAGCATTGATGTGGTCATAAGACGTTTTAGGAAGCCAGATTTCGTGGTAAAAACGTTACGCTACACAATGGAAAAGGCGTTGCGCGACAATCAACGACTCGTCGATAACACTTCAAACGAAGAACCACCAAGCTACACGTTTGCTGAATGTGAGCGCCTGCTGTACGAGGCTTCCGGTCGTTCGATTTTGCTGGAAAACTGTAAATACATTTTGGAGCGCAGCATAAGCAAATCGCGTAAATTTGCCGATAGATATTACTTTTCACGCGACACACGCATCAAATACTTAGTGGATCAACAGTCCGAGGAGGCGCTCGGCAAAGCCATGACTATGCGTATTTGTGCGGCAAAATTGCCTTATATGGTCTTAAAAGGTGGTGCTTCAAGTAATATCGGTCCGGACGCGATGAAGCTAATCGGTTTGCTGACTGAGAATAATCCGAACTTTGAAACACATCTGATTGATGACGGCTTACACCATTTCCACCTGAATCAGCCCGAAGCTACAGCAAATTTGATCATACCATTTCTGAAGCGCTATCGTCCACAGCCACAGACCGACGGCGCGCAGTCGTATGTTGGCAGTGAGTTGCGGTCAAAGGCTAATTTGTGAACTTGAATTTTCGGCTTTTAGTTTAATTTGTAATTAAAGCTTGTGGTTCAGTTATTAAATTGTGTATTCAATGTTTTTAGTGTTTGTTGCAGCACATACACTGTTGGGGAAAAAGTATACGCCACACTTTGAGTAACATATTGCGTCTATTACTATATGAGTGCTTTTAGGATTATTTAGAGTTTCGTCCCTTAAGCTATGTGGACAAGAAAGAATCAAGCAATTTTTAATAGCGAAATCTGATGAGCAATGGATATCGTATTCCAGTGAAGGCTTTTGCATTGGCCGGAAAAAATTATAGACAGAGGAGGCAATGTCTGAACTATCCGGCGGGTGAGGAAAATCTTTCCAGCTGCTATTTTCCAAATAGTCTTAGCCACTCTTGCAATGGCCGCCGTTTTTCGGTAAGAATTCCTTCGATTTGTTGAGTTGTTGTCGGTAGCTTTTCCCATTAATTGTTTTACCCGGTTTCAGAAATTCATAATACAGCATACCTTGTCGTCATGGATTTCCAGCTTTGCCGTTGATTTGGTTATTTGGTCGGACCTCATATATAATTTTTCGCGTTCTATATTGCTCTGCTTCCCCCGGCATATACTGCGTCGAATACTCTTAGAGCTGGAGTGTTTTCATCCATTCGGACGACATGACGTATCAAACGTAGCCGCTACCTACTTGCCACAGTCCTTGTCCCTTCCATCACACTTATTGAACGGTGGTGATGTCAGCCTCTACTCTTACGAGGACATCAACCAGCAGTGCAATGGCACATTCTACAATTCTAGTCCTTTAGTAAGTTCTAACCTTCAAAAGGCGCGTGAAAAAATTGGACAGCTGTCAGATTATTACGTCGTGAATTATACCATTTTGAAAGAAGTAACGGTTGTCATTTCCTTTTTGGGAAAACTAATACTCGCACTGTTGGGGCCAAGGTTTGGATTGTCCAACATTATTTGGACTCTGTATCAGGGAAATGAACCATTGGAAAGTAGTTCGAGATTTTAAAAATATCCAATGAACGTTTACATTGTAAAATTCACTAATATTTGGGTATGAGGACGCTCGGTGCAAAATGGTTGTCGCGTGAGCTCACTTTTGACCAAAAACAACGACGAGTTGATGGTTTGGATCAGCCTTTGGGGATCTTCAAACGTAATAAACTCAGGTTTTCGAATCGATATGTTATAATGAATGCAATATGGCGCCGTCATTTCATTCCGAAGTCCAATCGACAGTCATTCGAGTGGACTGCACTTGATCAACCCACTCCAAGGCAATGCATCGTGTTACCAGTCTGTGAAAAGGGTGGAAAAATTCCATGAATTGTGCTTCGAATTGCTTCTGTACTCTGCGCATTCTCCAATTCTGGTCCCCAGCGACTATTGTCTATTCTATTGAATTCTCTGAAAATAACGTAGGTAATTCTTTTGCGCAACAGTGTAGGTAGCTAATCATGTTTACGCAGTACTCATGCTTACCTAAGCGAGCCAACAAAATGGGTTTAAAGTTCATTAATGTATATAGTTTAACATTTTTCCCCTTAGCATGAGTGCCAACTTGACCTAAGCTTTAAAATATTAAGCTTCTATTAAAGTATTTCTATGAAAAATAAAATGTTTGTGTGTCTAAGTTGACGGTAGAATTTTTTAATTTCCGCAAGCGGAGCGCCGTAGACGGTCACGCATCGCGCGGTAAGTAATTCATAGTTGCAGCTGTGTTGCTAGTCTAAAAGAGTGAACTAAAAGAGTAGAACGTAATGCCGGAGAAGAGTCGAGTAAGTTGCATTTAGCGTATCGTCTTCTGGAAGTGAAAATTTTCTCTTAAACATTCATTTTACTTTCTTCAGCCGTTTGAATTGCAAATTCCCATGCCCTGGGGTCACATAGCCGGCTGTTGGTATGGCGATCCGCTGGGACGGCCGCTGCTCGCTCTACACGGTTGGCAAGATAATGCGGGTAGTTTTGCACGCTTGGCGCCGCTTATTGCAGCGCAGCGACCCATTTTGGCGATCGATTTGCCCGGTCATGGACGCTCGTCGCACTTTCCCGCCGGCATGTCGTATCACTTCAACGATTTCCTACGCGTCGTGCATCGCATTGTTCGCCATTACAAATGGCGTAGCGTATCTCTTCTGGGACATTCGATGGGCGCAGCTTTGAGCTTTTCCTATGCCGCACTCTTTCCGAACAATGTCGATATGATCATAGCGATTGATACATTGACCACGCTATATTTTCCGCCGCATATACAGATCGATATGATGACCGTAATGACGGAGAAGTCACTGAACGAGGAAGACCGCTTGCGTGAGCCCGCGCCGTTGCCACTTTACAGTTATGAGGGTTTAACAGATTTGCTCTATCGTGGTTCAGAGCAATCGGTGGAGTTGGAGCATTGCCAGTATCTGTTGGAGCGTAGTGTTCGGCTCGCTGAAGGACAATCGCATATGTATTATTTCTCACGTGATACCCGCGTTAAGCTCATGGAAATGTTTTTCACTCCTCCACAGCTGGTTTTGGCTTTGGCTGAACGCCTGCGTAACATTCATTATCTCGTTATTAAAGCTGAGCTCTCGTATCACATAGAGGTGGAAGATTTAAGTGACATCTTTCGTATTCTCCGTGCTAATAATCCCACATTCGAGTTCCACGTCATAAAGGGTGAGAAGCATCATGTTCACCTGAATAGTCCCGACAAAGTGGCGGCGTACGCAATGCGATTTCTACGTATGTATGGCGGAGAGTGGCATAAATCCGCAGAGGCTAAATTGTAATTATAAGTTTTTTTTAGACAAATAATAAAAAATTTATCTTAAGTTCGTTTGGATTTCGGCGATTTTACCGAAAATGAGTTGAGTTGTAAGTGGATTTGTGAGATAAGACGACTTAGCTGAGTTAAAACTTTTATTCAATGTTCTCAAGAAATTATATCTCAAAAGTGTGCGACATAGTTAACGTAATAGGAAATTTTAATATGCATATAGGTTAGGTTAGGGCAAGTTAGTTTGGCTTTCGAAATAGCATAGACCTCAGCTTGAAATAGCTGACATTGACTTCAGTGGTCTGGCAACTTAAAAGGCTGCCTTAGGCCCAACTCTGGACAGTATATTATCACACCAACTCCATCGTCCATATTCGAGCCATCCGCATAAATGTTTAAAATGTTGCACGGAGCAAACCTACCATTTTTTTCTATGTTGACTTTGAACCTTCTTTCCCAGTTGAAAAGTCGGATCGTGTAGTCGGTGTTTGATAAATTACCCACTGAGCTATGCCCGAAGATTCTATGTGTAAGTTTTCCTGCAGCCAGTACAGTAGTCCCGCCGATTTTGATGCGAGTTTTATAGGTGGCATTTTTAGTACAAGAGCCACCGTTGGGGTTATTCTTAAAGTTCCCCTTATATATGCATATAAGTATCAATTATAAAGGACTTCTTGGCCATTTGAGAAGTATTTTCTCTTAATGAATCGAAAAGTAATGCTGGAGTGGAACTGGGATTACGTGGTGACGTGGTGAAGGTAAATCGCATGCAACAATTTTCCCCTTCATTGTTTTTTCCACTGTTAAGTTGAATAATGTTCAAAGTTCTCCTACCTTTTGCACAATGGTGATTTTCATATCGCTTCTCCTGTGGTGAAAATAGAGATACAGAGGAGCGCGAAAGGAGAAATTTTTTCAGTTGGGGTAATGTGGTGGCGTTTGGTGCTGTTGAGGTGTATGCTGATAATTTTGAAGTATGTAACTACCAATGTAATTGAATAAAGAAAGCTTACAGATTTTGTAAAATAATAATCCACACATAAATTATTCGGATATTCAATGTTAAGACTACACTAGATCTCTCAGTCGATAGGGTCAATAATTCATATGCAGTCTTTAGAACTTCAGATACTTCGCGCCATCCAGCGTTTTAAGTACTTGGTAAGTAAAATAATTGAAATACATATAGCAATGACTTATATGAGCAACTCTCTTTCGAATATAACTTTTTCATTATCGGACCCTCTTTTAAGTACACTGAAGAAGGAAGTCATTTTGGTGGTGATGGGATGTGGCTCATCAAATCAATGTTTTGAGTTTCAGTTGGTGTGTGTGAAATCGCATTGTCGTGATGAAGAGAGAATCGTTCCACGCGGTTGGTTTCCCTTGCGAAAAAAAAATAAAAAAAAAATGCAACCATTTTTTGGAACTGCTTCGGTCGCGAATAACTGTTTTTTATACCCTGAACAGGGTATATTAAGTTTGTCACGAAGTTTGTAACAGCCAGAGGGAAGGGTCGGAGACCTTATAAAGTATATATCTAAATGATCTGTATGTCGAGCTGAGCCGATTTAGCTATGTCCGTCTGTCTGTCTGTCTGTCTGTCTGTACAAATACGAACTAGTCCCTCAGTTTTTAAGATATCGCTGTATCATATATGTAGCTGCCGTACAAACTGAATGATCGGAATCAAGTTCTTTTACGGAAAACTTTCACATTTGACAAGATATATTCACGAAATTTGGTATAGATTATTTTCTAAGGCAACAATGTAATATCCGAAGAAATTATTTAGATCGGATTACTATATCATATATTTGCCATACAAACTGAATGATCGGAATCGAATGCTTGCATGGGAAACTTCCTCATTTGACGATATATCTTCACGAAATTGGGTATGAGTTATTGCTTATAGAAATAATGTAATATCAGAAGAATTTGTTCAGATCGGCTCACTATAGCATATAGCTGCCATACAAGCCGAACGATCGGAATCAAGAGCTTGTATGGAAAAGTTTCGCATTTTACGTCGTATCGTCACGAAATTTGGCATGTATTACTGCTTAAGGTAACAATATAATATCCAAAAAAATTGTTCAGAATGGATTACCATAGCATATAGTTTGCATACAAACTGAACACATAGTTATCAACAGAAATACACCTGTGAAGGGTATTTAGCTTCGGTGCAACCGAAGTAAACGTTTTTTCTTGTTTTGAATTCAGCTTACCCTGAAACAACCAATCAGTCGACTGCTGTTTACTTTTACTGTTTTTCATATGTATAAATGTACGAATCTTATCTGTCATAAATGTGTTATCGTATTTTTTTTTTTTTTTTATCTCTCTCGACCAATTGATAAGAGACTGTTTTGGAGCAATTGACAAATTGTGTGAGAAGCAACTTGAATAAATTATTGTTACAAATATAGAAGCAATATTGCATGTATTTTGATCGTACTAATATCTACAGTTATCTCAATTTCCCCAAAAGGTCACATGACGATCTTGTAATAATGAGATCATGAGCTTCCATTTCAGGCATAAAATTGTCGATTATAATGACGCGATAACGCTCGCCATTGACGGTTACGCTCTGACCGGCATCATTTTTGAAGAAATATGGACTGATGATTCCACCGGCTCACAAACCACACCCAATCGTTGTTTTTTTTTCTAGATGAAATACTAATATGGGCAACGGGTTCTGGCGAGCAAATTCACAAGCTTAATATGTTCTCTTAGTATTAATATGGAGTGTCATAAACCCCTCTGCGGCAATAATGATGTGAAATAAATGAAGCGAAATAAATATAGTCGAAGACATAAGACTCCACTCATATCTGCATTGAATAACATATATGTACATATACACACGTAATTCGGTTAGAAAGCAAAACCAATCGATCTTTGCGCAAACACTTTTTCCCGTTTTGTACAGTCAACTTTTTTTGTTGTATCTGTGTAAGGACATGGGATGACATGGCATTAATTGGACATCCCCACGGTCAAAATGTCTGCCGTTGCGTGGTTGTACATAAGAATATTGTAAATAACCGAATGCTAACAGTTCTTACGATGTATATTTATGTATATGTGTATGCATAATCTATATATATGTATGTATATATATACCTATATATAGATTTATGTTGATAATGCTAGTGTATGTGTGTTTGTGTAAATAATATTCAAGTAGGCAATGGCTGCGTGGAAGACTGTTGACGCCCGTGGTGAAGCTA